GGGGGGGTGGGATGGGGGGGGGGGGGGGGGGGGGGGGGAGAAACGATTGCTGGAGAAAACAGGATCCATCACATGAAAGTGAGGTAGGCCTGAGATCTTGAGGCTAATAGGCATTCAGAATATTGCATTGCGCATTATTTGCTCCATTAGGATCCAGTCTGATATTTAATCTCCACTGAAGATCCAGTCTGAGATATAACCCCATTGAAGATCCAGTCTGAGATATAACCCCATTGAAGATCCAGTCTGAGATATAACCCCATTGAAGATCCAGTCTGAAATGTAATCTCCATTGAAGATCCAATCTGATATATAATCCCCATTGAAGATTTAGTATGAGATATAATCTCCAGTGAAGATCCAATCTGAAATATAATCTCCATTGAAGATCTAGTATGAGATATAATCTCCAGTGAAGATCCAATCTGAGATTTAATCCCCATTGAAGATCCAGGCTTCTCTCAGATATAAAACAGAGAGTGCCTGGCTTGTTCTGTTAGTTGCGTATCCTTTACAGGACGTTGCAGAACCAACCTTAACAGCCCCTGGCTGTTGTGTGGTTTTTCTAGGCAATTTACATCCAGCAGTTTGCCATTGCTTCTGGACGGTCGGCTTTCTTGATACCACTGTCGAAACCAACTCAAGGCGCATTGCCCTCAGCTTGGATCGAACCTGGCATCCCGGCATTACGAAGCGAAGCGTTCGCATAGACTTAGCCACAGAGCCGACGGCTTGTTCTGTACTGAACCAGAAATGTCCGAGCCTCCACATTTCTTACAACTACCTATGACGAAACCTAATCTAATGATTCCACACCTGTACTCTGGAGCCTGCGATGCTGTCACTGTATCTCACCGTGTGCTAATATGTCTCCTCATTTCCTCAAAATCACTTTAGGCTAGAAAAGTGTTAATCCTCCAGGCACACGCAACCTACCCCAGATATCCAGTTTTGCGGAGAAAACGCATTATATAGCCCAGTTTCCTGCCCACACAAGCCAAACTACAGCCCGCCCTGCCACGATGCCCGCCAAGTATGGCAGGGCACCTAGCTAGGTGTGGATGTGCCCTGATTTACGGGCACACCCGATCTGGACTGTCACCGTTTTACACTTATTGTCTTGTCTTTGCGTTTGTTTATTAAGCGACACAAAAAGCCGTAGGTATCTCCTCCGTTCTTGTGTTACACTGAGGGCTGCCAGGTTTCCGTTCTCACTGACACAGTTCGAGTCCCACAGGCTAAGGTTTCAATTTATTGCAGTTGCTGGGAGCCGCTCAATGATGTGAAGCTATCGTTGTATAAGTTTCACCTGTTGGGGGTGTCACAGTTGAAGAATGTCACACCTTGTCGCTACAGGTATTACCTGGTCAGGGTGACTAGTTCCATCCTCTCTCTCTCTCTCTCTCTCTCTCTCTCTCTCTCTCCATTTTTCTCTTCCACATTATAGGCAGACAGAAATCCTGGCAGTCCGCAGGGTTGACCAAATAGTAAGACGATTTATAACAGACATTCCACATTTGTAAAAGAGATACCATGTGTGTGGCAGACATTTCACATCGAAAACAGACTGTATAACAGATATGAGGAGGGCTGGAAACTTTTGGCTTAGGGAATTGACTCCCCGCCCCCACCCCACGTAAAATTGGAGGGGTCCCCCCACCCACCCCTTTGTGTACAACATTTGAAAGTGGGCTAGGCGATAATAAAAAGAAAACAGTTTCTTTTTAGGTTTTTGTTTAAACATAAAAACAAAATTATTTCAGAGATATACTTTCATTTCCCAACATAACAATAATATGTGGGCAGTAGTATAGATCATGTAGAGAATTTAATGTAAATCTGTTCTTATGTTTTGTGGATTATTCAAAAGCATTTGACTGTGTACAACATCAGAAGCTTTGGGAAATCATGAGGAATATGGGCTTTCCATCACATATAGTGCAGCTCATTAAAATGCTCTATCAAGACCAACAAGCAGCAGTCAGAATAGATGGAGAGACATCAGACTGGTTTGGCATCAAGCAAAGGAGTCCGTCAGGGATGTGTGCTGTCACCGTATTTGTTCAACCTGTACGCCGAAAATATAATGAGAAATGTAAGAGATGATATAAACAAGGAACAATATGATGCCCTAAACATCGGTGGTCATGAAATTCGTTATGCTGATGATACAGTATTACTATCAACATCACAAAATGGTTTAGAAAACTTATTAACCTCACTCCAAAGAAATAGTGAAAATCATAACTTATTTCTTAACATAGCAAAAACAAAGATAATACATACAAACAAAACTGCCATGGAGAAGGAAATATATGTTAATGAGGAAGGATTGGAAGTGGTGGAAAATTTCGAATATCTTGGGTCACTGGTTACCAACAATGGTGACACAATGAAAGAAATTAAACGGCGACTATCAATTGCTCTTCAAAGACTAAAACAACTGAATAAATTATGGAATTGTACAGATAGAATTACAAAGGTCAGATTTTTAAGAGCATGCATCTTTCCCATTGCAACATACGCCTGTGAGACCTGGACACTTACTAAACAAGCGAACAGCGCATAAATGCATTTGAATATAAATGTTACAGACAGGTTCTAAGAATATCTTGGGTAAAGAAAAGAACAAATGCATCCATACTTCAAGAGCTGAATATTGAAGAGGGTTGGCTAGTAAAGACAATAAAACAAAGAAAATTGAAATATTTTGGTCAATTGAAACGTCATGGAAGTCTAGAGAGAACAATAATGGAGGGGTATATGCCTGGGAAGAGAGGAAGAGGAAGGCCAAGGAGAAGATGGGTGCAGGATGTGGCAGATGATCTCCAGATGGGTGTATCAGACGCAGGACATCTTGCTCAGGATAGGAAGGTTTTCCGGAGGGTTGTTATGACAGCGAGGTTCCGCGAGGGACATGCTACTGAATGAATGAATGAGTATAGATCAAGATGAGGTGACTAGTAGAGATATATAACAATACAAAAGACAAGAGGAGCTTTCATAGAAGTACGACATTTGTGGAGGTCACAATCAATATTAACTAATAGTAAGCTTCAAATGTGTAACTTTAAAGTCAAATCAGTTCTTTTGTTGTATTACAGCAGGTACAATGAGAACAACTAAACAAAACTATACTGATAAACTGGGATTGCGTGGTCTCGGGGCCTGGTATCCGCCTCTAGTGCTAGAGGTTTAGGGTTCAATCCCCGGTATGATAAGGGCTGGAGTTTTTTTTCATGAGGACTTGGAATTTTAGTAATACCCCCTGGTCTCTGGGTAGTGAGATCGGACGCCCGTGTGCATTGCTGAGCAGGTAAAAAATCTCTTGGCAGTTGGAAATAGGAAAAAGTTGCGCTGCCGGGGCAAAATTTAGAAGTGAAAAATCTACTTAAAGTATTTCAGGATCCTCACCGGTGCTATAGAGCCTATGCACTGTGCTGAGCGTCTTCGGACTACAAACAAGTTGTAATGAACTGGCCAGTACACGTAAACAAATTGAAATATACTGACTGGCACTCGTAAAACGGCCAGTTTTCTTCTGGATTTCCTGGGTAGGAAGATGTGGAAAACGCTGTCACTGTGTTTGAACGGCTGCCTGGGTGAGCTGGCTTAGCACTGGCCTCGAGATGAGTAGTTGTCTGGACCACGTGCAAAGGTCACAGATCTAGCTGCACCCCATTAGTGTCAAAAACAGCTCCCCTGACAACCAACTACCCACCAATAGTTTTCCCGCACATTCGTGTCATAACTTCCCGGAAGTAGCACTTAATGCTGGGAGAAGTCAACATGGCCGCCCAAGTCCCTTCAGCTAGGTAGGCATAAACATTTTAATACAAGAATAAACAAACTGTGGTTTCTATGGTGACACGGTGTAGCTGAGAAAAGACGATGTGGCGATATTTTCTGAACAAACTGGCCCTGGTGCAGCGTCTGTTTGACGCAATGAAAGGTTGCACTCACTGGGTGGTACCAGGGGTTCTGTTTCTGTGTGATGGGCCGGGAGGGTAGAGCAGCCGTCTTCAGTACAGAGATCACAGTGTTCCAATCTATGTGAAGTGGCGGCAGCCCTGCGATTTGCACAACCAAGTTAATCTGTGTATGGGAGAGACTGAGAGAGAGAATGGGTTGGGGTGTTAGAGAGAGAGAAGAAGGGGATAGAGAGAGTTAGAGATAGAGAGAGAGAAAGAAATTGGGTGGTAGGTGTTAGAGAGAGAGAGAGAAGACGGGTGTAGAGAGAGTTACAGGGGGGAAGGAGAGAGAGAGAAATGGGGTTGTATGTGTTAGAGAGAGAGAGAGAGAGAGAGAGAGAGAGAGAGAGAGAGAAAGAGAAAGAGAAGACGCGGTAGAGAGAGTTAAAAAGAGAGGAGAGAGAGAAATGAGGTGGTATTTGTTAGAGAGAGAAATAGAGATAGAGAGAGAGAGAGAGAGAGAGAGAGAGAGAGAGAGAGAGAGAGAGAGAGATGACGAGAATAGAGAAAGTTAAAGTGAGAGGGAGAGAGAAAAACAGGAGCAGGGTGTTAGAGAGAGAGAGAGAGAGAGAGAGAGAGAGAGAGAGAGAGAGAGAGAGAGAGAGAGAGAGAGAGAGAAGGCGGGTGATAGAAAAAAGAAAAGACAGGGAAACAAAAGATGCTTTTGTTGTCTGGTTTGCTGTGAGAGTTTGTGTGTCTGTTTGTGTGAGGCTGTGTATGTTTTGTGAGTGTGGGTGAGAAACACAGATACAGCCCCCCCCCCCCCCCCCCCCCCCCCCCCCCCCCCCCCCCCCCCCCCCGTAGTCTCTTATCAACATGAATACATGGTCGTTAGAAAGTTGAGAATCCTTCAATATAAAAGTGTTACTCAACCTGTGGACCGGGCAAAAGTCCAGGTGAGCGGGGCAAAAGTCCAGGTGAGCGGGGCAAAAGTCCAGGTGAGCGGGGCAAAAGTCCAGGTGGGCGAGGCAAAAGTCCAGGTGAGCGGGACCTGGGGCAAAAGTACAGGTGGGCGGGGCAAAAGTCCAGGTGAGTGGGGCAAAAGTCCAGGTGGGCGGGGCAAAAGTCCAGGTGGGCGGGGCAAAAGTCCAGGTGGGTGGGGCAAAAGTCCAGGTGAGTGGGGCAAAAGTCCAGGTGGGCGGGGCAAAAGTCCAGGTGAGTGGGGCAAAAGTCCAGGTGGGCGGGGCAAAAGTCCAGGTGAGCGGGACCTGGGGCAAAAGTACAGGTGGGCGGGGCAAAAGTCCAGGTGAGTGGGGCAAAAGTCCAGGTGGGCGGGGCAAAAGTCCAGGTGGGCGGGGCAAAAGTCCAGGTGGGTGGGGCAAAAGTCCAGGTGAGTGGGGCAAAAGTCCAGGTGGGCGGCTATGAGAGGAGGCTATAAGAGGAGTCTGAGAGGAGGCTGTGAGAGGAGGCTATGAGAGGAAGGTGTTAGAGGAGGCTATGAGAGGAGGCTATAAGAGGAGGCTGTGAGAGGAAGGTGTTAGAGGAGGCTATAAGAGGAGGCTATGAGAGGAGGCTATAAGAGGAGTCTGAGAGGAGGCTGTGAGAGGAGGCTATGAGAGGAAGGTGTTAGAGGAGGCTATGAGAGGAGGCTATAAGAGGAGGCTGTGAGAATAAGGTGTTAGAGGAGGCTATGAGAGGAGGCTATAAGAGGAGGCTATGAGAGGAGGCTATAAGAGGAGGCTATGAGAGGAGGCTATAAGAGGAGTCTATGAGAGGAAGGTGTTAGAGGAGGCTATGAGAGGAGGCTATAAGAGGAGGCTATGAGAGGAAGGTGTTAGAGGAGGCTATGAGAGGAGGCTATAAGAGGAGGCTATGAGAGGAGGCTATAAGAGGAGGCTATGAGAGGAAGGTGTTAGAGGAGTCTATGAGAGGAGGCTATAAGAGGAGGCTATGAGAGGAAGGTGTTAGAGGAGGCTATGAGAGGAGGCTATAAGAGGAGGCTGTGAGAGGAAGGTGTTAGAGGAGGCTATAAGAGGAGGCTATGAGAGGAGGCTATAAGAGGAGTCTGAGAGGAGGCTGTGAGAGGAGGCTATGAGAGGAAGGTGTTAGAGGAGGCTATGAGAGGAGGCTATAAGAGGAGGCTGTGAGAGGAAGGTGTTAGAGGAGGCTATAAGAGGAGGCTATGAGAGGAGGCTATAAGAGGAGTCTGAGAGGAGGCTGTGAGAGGAGGCTGTGAGAGGAGGCTATGAGAGGAAGGTGTTAGAGGAGGCTATGAGAGGAGGCTATAAGAGGAGTCTGAGAGGAGGCTGTGAGAGGAGGCTATGAGAGGAAGGTGTTAGAGGAGGCTATGAGAGGAGGCTATAAGAGGAGGCTGTGAGAGGAAGGTGTTAGAGGAGGCTATAAGAGGAGGCTATGAGAGGAGGCTATAAGAGGAGTCTGAGAGGAGGCTGTGAGAGGAGGCTATGAGAGGAAGGTGTTAGAGGAGGCTATGAGAGGAGGCTATAAGAGGAGGCTGTGAGAGTAGGGTGTGAGAGGAGGCTGTGAGAGGAGGCTATGAGAGGAAGGTGTTAGAGGAGGCTATGAGAGGAGGCTGTGAGAGGAAGGTGTTAGAGGAGGCTATGAGAGGAGGCTGTGAGAGGAAGGTGTTAGAGGAGGCTATGAGAGGAGGCTGTGAGAGGAAGGTGTTAGAGGAGGCTATGAGAGGAGGCTGTGAGAGGAAGGTGTTAGAGGAGGCTATGAGAGGAGGCTGTGAGAGGAAGGTGTTAGAGGATGCTATGAGAGGAGGCTATGAGAGGAAGGTGTTAGAGGAGGCTATGAGAGGAGGCTGTGAGAGGAAGGTGTTAGAGGATGCTATGAGAGGAGGCTATGAGAGGAAGGTGTTAGAGGAGGCTATGAGAGGAGGCTGTGAGAGGAAGGTGTTAGAGGAGGCTATGAGAGGAGGCTATAAGGAGGCTGTGAGAGGAGGCTATAAGGAGGCTATGAGAGGAGGCTATAAGGAGGCTGTGAGAGGAGGGTGTGAGAGGAGGCTGTGAGAGGAAGGTGTTAGAGGAGGCTGTGAGAGGAAGGTGTTAGAGGAGGCTATAAGAGGAGGCTATAAGAGGAGGCTATGAGAGGAGGCTATGAGAGGAGGCTATGAGAGGAGGGTGTGAGAGGAGGCTATGAGAGGAGTCTGTGAGAGGAGTCTGTGAGAGGAGTCTGTGAGAGGAAGATGTTAGAGGAGGCTATAAGATGAGGCTATGAGAGGAGGCTGTGAGAGGAGTCTGTGAGAGGAGTCTGTGAGAGGAGTCTGTGAGAGGAAGGTGTTAGAGGAGGCTATAAGAGGAGGCTATGAGAGGAGGCTGTGAGAGGAGGGCGTGAGAGGAGGCTATGAGAGGAGTCTGTGAGAGGAGGATGTGAGAAGTACTCATCCCTGAAATAGGTCAGCGCCAGTTGATGTGTTTGATTGATAGCTGTCACAGCATGCGTCCGTCCGTTTAACGTAAATGTTGTCAGGCGCGGCCTTTTCCACAGCGTATACACTGTTCTACATGTGCACTGTCTGTGTCTGTCTGTCTGTCTGTCTGTTGCTGATTTGTTTCCCCTAGTGTTCACACTCGCTGTTCTACATGTGCACTGTCTGTCTGTCTGTCTGTCTGTCTGCCTGCCTGTCTGTCTGCCTGCCTGTCTGTCTGCCTGCCTGTCTGTCTGTATGTTGCTGATTTGTTTCCCCTAGTGTTCACACTCGCTGTTGTACATGTGTACTGTCTGTCTGTCTGTCTGCCTGCCTGTCTGTCTGTCGTTGATTTGTTTCCCCTAGTGTTCACACTCGTTGTTCTACATGTGTACTGTCTGTCTGTCTGTCTGTCTGTCTGTGTGCTGCCTCGCTGATTTGGTTCCCTAGTGTTCACACTCTCTGTTCTACATGTGTACTGTCTGTCTGTCAGTCTGTGTGCTGCCTCGCTGATTTGGTTCCCAAGTGTTCACACTCTCTGTTCTACATGTGTACTGTCTGTCTGTCCGTCTATCTATCTGTCTGTCTGTATGCTGCCTCGCTGATTTGGTTCCCTAGTGTACACACTCTCTGTTCTACATGTGTACTGTCTGTCTGTCCGTCTATCTATCAGTCTGTATGCTGCCTCGCTGATTTGGTTCCCTAGTGTTCACACTCTCTGTTCCACATGAGCACAGTCTGTCCGTGTGTTGACTGAGTATCTCTTTTTGGAGGCGCGCTGTCACAGCGAAATCAGTGGGTGGGCTCAACCCACCGCCCACAGTAATGTAGTCTAGAATGTTGCTCGAGCTCTGTTTGATTCAGCAATAATCAGTAGGGCTGTACCCAATAATGATTTTCACTATTCGGCTGAATACGAATAACGCGACCAACTATTCGGCCGCATACGAATACAAATAGTGCATAAAATATATCTTTTAAAAAAAGGACACAAGCACACACACACACACACACACACACATTCATAATGTCAAATGTACGCTGAACTTTTACTTCACATAAATTAGTACAGAATAGTCCTCTTCTTCTTTAGCATTCTGTGCTCTTGGGGTTTACTGCTGCATTCATTTTTCTGTCTGGTCTTCTCTTTACAATTTGTGACACCAGTTGTTTGCAGGTCTGGCTGGACATTATCTCTCGAACTTCTTTTTTGTCTTCCTCATGGTCTACGCCTATTCCTCTCTCAGGTGTATACAGTTTTTACTTCTCTGTCGTCTGACATTCTTTCAATATGCCCCAATCATTTTAGTCTGTTAGCTCTCATGATCAATGGTGATTTAAACAGATTATGCGTTACGTTGTTGCTTCTCACTCTCCATTCCCCGCTGTTAACATCTTTGATGGGTCCAAAGATTTGTCGTAAGACTGTTTTCGAAAACCTATACTAAGGCCTCATCTCTTTAATTTCTGCTCCAAGTTTCAGAGCCATATAAAACAACTAGTCTTATCAACGTTTTATATATTTGGATCTTGATGTTGCGAGACAGACACTTTGACTTTAGCAGATGTTGAAGGGCATACTATACTTTATTTCTAGATTGTATTCTATATTGTATTTCTTCTCTCAGCATGTTGGAGCAGTTGAAGTTTGCACCCATGTACTTATATGTTTCCGTTCGTTTGATTTTCATATTATCGACTTGAATGTGGCCGGAGTTTAAATTCTTTCCATGTCTAGTTAGTATTCATACAGAATAGTAAACATTTAAAAACATTTTATGTTTTACATCCTTCAGTCAGTCTGTGGTAACTAATAACTAGTAATGAAAGAATCCTTAGCATTATAACAAGTAATTAAACTTGGAAATTGTCACTGGCAGCTTGGTTAATGCAGGAAAGCTGCATTAGCATTCAACAAAACCAATCGTTCCATGTTGTCAGCATTAAGGCCGTGTATGCAGAAGCGGGTGTCAGGTAACTACTATTCGTATTCAGCCCGACCGCAACTATTTGGCCAAATACCGAATAGTCAATAGGTCCACTATTGGGCCCCAAAGTGAATACGAAGCGAATATTCCGTACAGCCCTAATAATAATATAAGGTATTATTATTATTATTATTATTATTACTATTAGTATAATATCTGGTTTACGACAAGGTAGAGGAACTAGGGATCACATCTTTAATATGAGAATAATTGTGTACAGTCTGACAGATTGTGGATTATTAAGAGAAGCATGCGGTTTCCAACAGATCTGATGCATGTAATTGAAAATGTATGTTGAACAAGACGAAACAGAGCATTTGGTGAAACATTGGGTTTGTTCGAGGTGCAAAAGGAAGTGTTGCAGGGGGGCAATCTCTCACCATCCTATTTAGTATATAGGCAGGAAACATCAGGAGAAACGTCAACAATGACCAGCAGTTGTGAACCGCTCGCAATTGATGGCAAACCTGTTCAGGAACTGTACTGTGCAGATGTCACAGTCTTCCTATCACAGTGTAAAGAGAATAGAAAATGTGATCATGCTTTTACACAGCAAAGATTAAAACCTGTTTTGAACTAAAAGAGAACAGAACTAATGTCCACACAGAGAACTGTTTGTCACTCAGCTTTAGTTGAAGCTGAACAGTAAAAACATGATTCAGAAGCCTGGATGTCTCAGTGCAGATGTCACTGTGTCGCTTAAACTGAAGGTCTGAAGCTCTGATGTCTCAGTGTAGATGTCACTGTGTCGCTTAAACTGAAGGTCTGAAGCTCAGATGTCTCAGTGCAGATGTCACTGTGTCGCTTTAAACTGAAGGTCTGAAGCTCAGATGTCACTG